TGTAGTATCAGAGAAGAATAACCATAAGTACCTGAAAAGACTGTTGAAATGTGCCTACCTTCTCCAACTGTGTATCTATGTTTTTTTGTTTTTTGTTTTTTGTTTTTGGTACTGGTGATCAAACTCAGGACCTTGCAGTTGTGAAGTGGGCAACTGCGCCACTGAGCTAAATCCCTGGCCCTTGATCTACGTTTTAGTATTAGTCAAAACAATACATCACAACAGAATGAATGTGAAAGTGGATATAAGGCTACAATTTAAGTTAAGCCAGATATTAAAAAGATTTGCAGAGCTGGGCATGGTGGCATACACCTGTAATCCCAGCACTCAGGAGGCTGAGGCAGGAGGGTCACCAAGTAAGTCTGAAGCCAGCCTGGGCTACACAGGGAAACCTGTCTCAAAACAGCAACAAAAGGATTTGCAAAAATTTGAAACAGTCCCACCCTTCTCATGAATTTGTTCAGAAAACAATTATTTTTCATAAAATACTATTTTATATTAATTTGTTAGAGATTATTGTTTTAAAATGAATAACAAAATATAAAATTTTAAAATTTATTTTGAGGCAGGGTCTCTGTATTAGTTCAGGCTGGCCTTGAACTCACTATGTAGCTCAGGCTGGCCTTGAACTCATGGTGATCCCCCTACTTCAGCCTCCAAGTGCTGGGATTACAGGCGTGTACCACCATGCCTGGCTTTGTTTAATTTCTAGTGTGGTAAATATCAAACATTTCTCTAGGATTTAAAATTTTTAAGTGTATAAAGGGGTCCTGACACTAAAAACCTGAGCCTATGCTCTTCTTTTTGTCCAGAATTCTTTTCTTTTCTCCCTAGGAAATCATACTTATAATTGTGGAGTTAATATTTATGTATTAATTTTTTAAAATTACAGAACATTTTAATGAGAACCTGGCTCTTTGCACGCTGCTGGCTTCATGGTTCTTATCCTATTTTGTGGAAATAACAGTCTGGTGGAGATGACATATTAAACAGATAATTGTAAGACTGCATGAAAAATGTTACCAGCGACAGCACATAGTTATTGTGGGAATCCGGGCTATTGTCAATGTCTTGCTATAGCCATTTATCCACTCACCTAGGACATATGACTGGTCAGTTTGATTGGACTGAACCTCCTATATTTGATTCTTCATAGCATGACAGGGAAAGTGGGTAAAATTAGCAGAAGATGAGAACTGTTCATTTGCTGCTCTGGGAGGAAAGAAGGGTGCTGCAAATGTATTGAATGTCAGCTTTATGCCATGCCCTATTCTGGATGTTTTAACAAATGCAGTTTTACTTAATTCTCACAAAAATCCTATGTAGGAGATTACTACCCTCATTTTGCAAATGGGAAATTGGAGGCTCAAAGAAGTTAAACAATTTGTTCAGTATTGTACAATTTATAACTGGTGAAGGGGGGATTTTAATATATGTGTTCTGACCATAAGTTCAGGACTCTCATTGTAGTACTAATGCACTGCTAAATGGGTGGCTTTTCAAAGATACTTCCACATGACCAAGGGAAACCTTGCCTGGATGGAAAGATAGAAGAAGTCTCCAGAGGGATGAGGAAACAGCTTAGGAAATGCTTACTTGAAGGAGTTATTTGTGAGTTTGGCTGACATGATTCTTTAGCCATATGGTGCTTTAAGCTTTTGTACTTCTTTATCTTCAGTTCTTCTAATCCTTCTGTGTGCCAGATGATGCCAGCAGCAGAGGTCACCTGTCTGATCAGATTACAAAGCAGAGTTTGGTGTTTGAAGCACAAACTTCTTGGACCTGCCATAAGACTTTGGGAAAGGTCCTGGCTGACCTTAGGCCACTAGAATCCAACCTGGAGGCCCCTATTCCCTAGAGCTTGGTAAACTATTTCCATTATTTTAAAAACCTGCTAGGAACTGTGCTGTACTTAGGTAAGCCTCGTATAGATGCAGGCTAATAAAAAGACTGGATTCTTTGGGTTAGAATGTTGTCAATCTAATGTGATTTATGTATGTTACCTGTAATCTTCTAGAACATACATAGCCTGTGAGTTAAATTCAATGCACCACCTGTTTTTGTGAAAAAGTTTTTTTTTTTTTTTAACACAAACTCATTTATCTATATTTTGTCTGTGGATGTTTTAGCCCTGCAATGGCAATTAAGAATTGCAGCAGAGGGCCGGGGATTTAGCTCAGTGGTTTTGTTGCCTGCTGCGCAAGCGCAAGGACCCAAGTTCGATCTCCGGTACCAAAAAAAAAAAGAATTGCAGCAGAGAGGCTGGGGGTTTAGCTCAGTGGCACCGTGCCTGCCTTGCAAGCTCAAGGTCCTGAGTTTGATCCCTGGTATCAAAAAAAAAAAAAAGATTGCAGCAGGAACTAAATCTTTAATTGTTTACTAGGTGGCCCTTTACAGAAGAAGTTTGTTGACCCCCCTTTTTCTCTGTTGTGACTCTTAGCACATAGTGTTTTGTCTGTTGCTCATACTTTAGTAATTGAGCTCCTGGGAACAAAAATAAGATGTGATTCATACCTTTATGCCAGGTGCTGATCATAGGGCTTTAAATATGAACAGTGCCCAATAAATGTTGTTTAAATGGGTGTATTAGGTGCTAGCTGAAAAGCTCTGATGGCAGCCAGGCGTGGTTGCACAGGCCTGTAATCCCAGCTACATGAGAGGCTAAGGCAGGAGGATCACAAATTCAAGGACAGCCTAGGCAAATTAGCAAGCCACTGTCACAAATAAAAAGGATTGAGGGGCCGGGGATTTAGCTCAGTGGTTCCACTGCCTGCCTCGAAAGCGCAAGGACCCGAGTTCGATCCCTGGTACCAAAAAAAAAAAAAAAGGATTGGGGATATACCTCAATGCTCCCTTGGCTCAATTCCCGCGCCCCCCCCCCCCGAGCTCTATAAAAATGACACTGAGGGGAAGAAGTTAATATTGATTAAGGTAATTTAAGCTCTCTGTGCTTTATTTATGAATTAGTCATGCAATTTGAGGGAATGGTTTTTCTGGAAATGGGTTCCAAGAATGAAACAGTCATGCCAGGACTTCTTGTTGGTGAGGAAACTGAGAAACAGTCTTTGTCTGTATTTTACCCTATCTCTCAGAACCTACCATCTCTCCATGCTACTCCCAATCCAATTGGGCAGAACACATGTAGAGAAACTAACAGTTCCATACAGATATATCTTTTGTATGCATGCTATTCATCTTATATTTTTTCTTTTCTTTTATAGAGCATTGCTTTTAGCTGTGTATGGTAGCACATGCCTGGAATCCCAGCACTCTAGTGGCTGAGGTAGGCAGATCTGAATTTGAGCCTTGCCTGGGCAATTTAACAAGACCCTGTATTAAAATCAAAGAAAAAGTGCTGGGGATGTACTTCAGTGCTGGTGTTACCTAGCATGCACAAGGCCCTGGCTTCAGTCCCCAGTACTGGGGGGAAAAAGATCCAAATCAAAAGGAAAGAGGAATTTTAGAACCTAGGAATTAGAAGAAATATACTAGAAATTTAGTCAAAATGCCTTTTTCAAATGACCTAGAGGCTTGGGGAAGAGAGCTGATCTTTCTTGTTACATAGTAGAGCTAAGCCTAGATTCCAGGCTCTTTGTTCTGTGTATATTCTTTAAAAAAATTTTTTTTTATTAGTAGCGGGGCTCAAACTTGGGTCCTTGTGCTTGCGCAGTAGGTGGCAAAACCACTGAGCTAAATCCCCGGCCCTCTGTGTGTATTCTTTAGGATAGATGTTTTCCAGGTTTATGAGGGATTATTAGTTGTCATGGAAAGAGCTAATGTGGGTCTAAGCACTTGTGCTGGTTTGTGGTATGATGGTGAGCATCGGAAACTTCATTCCAGATCTCTGGGCCTGTTTTATCAGTTGAGCTCAGGACCTTTAGATATCTAATAGATACTTTGCTGGATCTGCCCATGGGAAGGCTAAAGATGTGAGCAGTTTCCCCAGTCAGCCTGTATCTGGCATTGTATATACCAGCAGAGATAAAGTAAACAAAAAGGAAAACTATACATTATTTAGACACTGGGATTAATTGTTGGTTGTTCTATTTCCAGAAATATTGTATTGATTTACATTTGTTTATTTGACAAAAAGTGGTATCTCATTTGAATGTATTTATTTATTTATTTATTTATTTGGTACCAGGGATCAAACTCGGGTCCTTGCGCTTTCGAGGCAGGTGGCAGAACCACTGAGCTAAATCCCCGGCCCTTGAATGTATTTTTAAAATTACTAATAAGTCTAAGCTTTTTTCTTGTGCTCATTGATGTGTTAGTTAGCTTTCTGTTGCTGTGACCTGAGAAAAACAATTTAAAGGAGGAAAGATTTATCTTTGTTCATAGTTTCCTAGGTGTCAGTCCGTAGTTGGCTGGTTCCATTACTGTGTGGAGGTGGGAACATGTGGCAGAGCAAAGCTGCTTACCTCGTGGCAGCCAGGAATCAGAGAGACATACATGAAAGGAAGGAGAGAGGGAGGAGAAAGAAAGAGAGGGAGAGGGAGAGGAAGAAACACACACACACACACACACACACACACACTAGTGTCCCAGTAAGGCCACACCCACCATGACCTTCACCCTCCACTTAGGTCCCATCTCCTGAAAGTCTTACCACCTCCCTCCTAGGAGGGCCATCTGCTGGAGACTAGGCCTTTAACACATGAACTTCTGGGAGACATTCCATATCTAAACCATAGTAATTGGCTATTTGTATTTTCTGTCACTTGTGACCTTTTCTTGTTCTTGTCTAGTTCCAAGTGCATTCCTCGTCTTATACTAACCTTTACTACCAGGGAACTATTAGGATGGTAAAGCATTACTCCTATATGGGAGAGCTCAGCATGTTCTCCAGGACTTAAAAGGCTAGGTGGTAGGTTTATATCACTGCATAGATGTTTAAGTGCCTATGTGAGTCAGATGCTAGAAGCTAAGGATGCTGACATAGGTGGGTGATAGAGGCGGAGCAGCAGTTCTGAGTAACATCTCTTGCTTTTCTTGTACAGAGTTTTGCCGGATTGACAAGCCCCTGTGCCACAGTGAGGATGAGAAGCTCAGCTTTGAGGCAGTCCGCAACATCCACAAGCTGATGGATGATGATGCCAATGGTGATGTGGATGTAGAAGAAAGTGATGAGGTGAGCTTTCTCACGCTGCCTCACCTCTCTTCTTTTCTGATGTGAAACAGTGCTCAAAATCTGCCTAGGCAAACTGTTCACTAGGAAGAGATGTTCTTTGGTGACTTTTTTTTTTTAAAATGGGTTCTTTGGTGACTTTTTGTTCTCTAGGAACTGAGCCACATCAGGGGAGGTGGCTCTCGGCAGAAGAGTCCTCTAGGAACCAGCCTGGCTTTGTGCAGGCTTTATGCCTTCATCTGCCTGAGTGGTAGGCACCTGCCCACTGGCCAGTAGCCTAACACTGACTAAGATGTGCTGTTTGGGAGGAAAGGGATTCCTGATCTTATCTCTACAGTTTCTCTGGATCTTTAATGTAATCCTTTCATAGATAAAGGGCATCAATCTGTACTCAGCTCTACCTATTTGGAATGTGGGAGAGAAACCAAAATAGTCAGATCCTGCCTTGTGGGAGTTTATACTCTATTTGGGAGGAAGAAACAAGTCCTAGAAAATCATCCTAAATTCTAAGCTGCAATTGTTGGGAGCCAGTTGAGTGGTTCAGATAGTATGAACTAGAGAAAATTCTAAATGTTTTCCCAATTTTTTTTCTGTTTTTGTTGTTGTTTTTATCTTTTAGCATCACTACAATTCCAACTCAGTAGAGCTCAAAGTTTAAGGTTATCATGTATGAAAAGATTTAAAGTTTCTTGATTTTAAGCTCAACATGAAATAGTTTGATAGTTTGGTGAAACTACCAAATCATGCCAGATCTTCAGTAGTGATGTAGTATACTGATATTCCTCATTTAATGACCTCTCTGTTTAATGACTGTTCAGACTTATGACCCATCGTTTTTGTTTTTTGTTTTTGTACAGTTCTGTATATCTTGTTTATAGATCCTCAATGTCTTTTTTTGGTACACCTTGTTTATACAGTACTGTAAATTTTGCTGATATATTGTACAGTACTATACTGCACTTTTATGTTTTGTTATACATTACAGTACTGCATGTAAGAGTTGTGTAAATAAAAGCAAAGTCAACAAATTGGAATTTTCTTTGACCATTTGTTTGTTTTGAATCTTGTACATACTGTATACAATTCCTCGTTTAGTGACCAGTTCATTTAATGATCTAGTCACAGGAATGTAATTCAGTTTTTAAACAAGGAGTGTCTGTATATTTTTTTGATTTTTTTTTTTTTTTTTTTTGCAGAATGGGGAATTGAACTCATGACCTTGCATTTGCCAGGCAGGCGTGGCACCACTGAGTTACATCCCCAGCCCCATGTCTGTACACTTTAAGAGAGCAGATAAGCCTAGTCTCTCTTCCCTGCTAGTTAGTCTGCCTTTAAGTTTTGAATTTAATTTTGGATCTCACAACATCAGAGGACTTAGAACAGAAAGAAACTATACAGACAAAAATGACAAGAATGATGAAGAGTATGGAAAGTCTGAAATCAAGAGCATTCAACACAGTCTGTAATACCTGCTATTGTGGAGGCTGAGGCAGTAAGATAACAAGTTCAAGGCCAGCCTGAGAAAATTAGTAAGACCTTGTCTCAATGTAAACAATAAAAAAGGCTGGGGATGTAGTTTAGCATCCCCTAGGTTCAATTCTCAGTACTGAAAAACAACAACTCCTCTTGTTGCTCCTCTACTGTCTGTCTGCCGTGACCTGTTGTCCTTCTGCCAGCCTTGGAGCCAGCTGATTATGGACTGAAACCTCAACAAACTATAAGCCAAATAAACCTTTCCCCCATAATGAAAAAAGAAAAACAACAACAATAAAAAACAAAAATGAAGAATAAGAGTTAAGTATATGCCCTTCATTGTGCTAGGTATAGAGATGGGATTATAAATGAGGCAATGAGGCAGATATATTCTCTCTTCAAATAATGTATAGTCTAGTGAAGATGCTTTAGCATGGAAAAGAGGAGATTCATGTAATATAATTTCTGTCTTCAAATATGTAAGAAGTGGAAAAGTCAGATTTTAAAAACAACAGTAACAATGAGTACCACAGTACTAGCTGTCATTTATTGAACTTCTCTTCTATGGAAGGCACTGTTGAGCTCTTTGCAGTTACTTGTTTAATTTTCTTTCTTTTCTCTTTTTTTTTTTTTTTTTGAGACAGGGTCTCACTCTGCGATTCAGACTGGCTTTAAACTCACAGCAATCCTCCTGCCTCAGTCTCCTGAGTGCTGGGATTACAGGCATGTGTCATCCTGCCTGACACTTTTTAAATTTTCTTAACAGCTTTTTAAAATTGGTGTTATTAACATGGGCCAGAACCTTAGAGAGGTTAGCGTTTTGTTTAAGGACATACTGGATATGAACTCAGATCTGATTTCAAAATCCATGCTCTTAAGTTCTGCTATATTGTTTCCCTTATTCTAAGGGGTGAGCCACGACCAACGTGGGGAAAATAAAAAATAGATATATCCTTTAGCATAAAAGAATTGCCTGTCTTTCCCTCTCCCCCTCTCTTCCTCCTCCTTCTCCCTCTTGTACTGGGGGTTGAACCCAGGACTTTTTTTTTTGGTATCAGGGATTGAACTCAGGACCTTGCGCTTGGGAGGCAGGCGGCAGCACCACTGAGCTAAATCCCTGGCCCGAAACCAGGACTTTTTGCATGCTAGACAAGCTTTCTACTATTGAGCTACATGCCCAGCTCCACCAACCCCCTTTGTTTTGAGGCAGATTATTGCTAAATTGCCTAGGCTGGCCTTGAACTTGTAGCTCTCCTTCCTCAGCCTCTCAAGTAGCTGGAATTAAGGGAGTGTGTCACCATGCCCAGCAGTTTTCCTTGTTAAGTAGTGAACCCCTTGTTGCTGAATATAGGGAACACAGCACTCCACTAACTAGTCAGCAGAGGGGATTTTTCTGTTAGGAAGAAATAGGTAATGTCCACTGAATTCAAGGAAGAGAAAAATAGACCTCCTAGAGGAAATGTAGAATTTGGATAGAATGGATAGGTTAGGGTTACCTGATTAGTGGAAAACCAGTGTGAGCAAAGGTGTGAAGGCAGTAAGAAGATGATGGGTTGGTTTGGTTAGACAGAAGGACTGTGGTAGAAAATCACTAAACAAAAAATTGAAAAGGAGAGGGGTGCCTAGGTACCAGGCTGAGTTATGTATATTTGTTGAACCAGGCAATTGTCGTTATTGAGCAAGGATTACAACTGTGATCAAAGTATCTGAATTTTTGGCATATCCAGAAGTGTCACAGGACCAAAATTTTATTTCTCTCTGCCAAGGATAGGGGCATGTTCCTGGTAGTGAATGAAGTATCCTGATCATTGTCCTAGGACATTGCCTCGGGACTGGGGAATGGACAATTTACAAGGTGATACAATCCAAGATCTACAAATTCCTGATTATTTTTGTCATGTGCTCCTCCTTTTTTTCCATTCTGCTGAACTGCTTTGTCAATGAGGGAAGGGAGAAAATGTTTTTAGAGGAATGTTACCACAACAAAAAGCTCAACAGCACAAACTGTTCCAAAATTACACAAAAGCTATCACCCTGCTCTTCTCTGCACCAGTAGTGAGCTGTTCTTTTTCAGCATAGCTTCTGCCTTGCCTTGGCTTCCTCTGTTCTCACTGCAACTTCAGGCCTCTTGTACTTAGAAGAGGCCTGCTAGCTTGAGTGTTCACAATTATAAGCTACTGTCCTTAAAAGAGAGTAGTAAATGTGTGTGCTTAAGGCAGTTTAAACATATAGGAGACAAGCTTGGGATTTAGGTCTAACCAGAAAATTGGGCAGATAGATCAGGGCTTAGAATACTGGGTGATGGGGCTGGGTATGGTAACATATGGTTGTAATCCCAACACTCAGGAGGCTGAGGCAGGAGGATTGCAGTGAGTTTGAGGCCAGCGTGGGCTACATAGTGAGTTCAGGGCGAGGCTGAACTACATAGCGAGATCCTGTCTCAAAAAAAAAAAAGAAATTGAATATTGGATGATGGAAGATGAGGCACCATGGATTAACTCTGCTTGTGGTGGCAGTCAAGGACCTGAGATTTTTATGACCCATCCAAAAACATTACTCATTAACTAAGAACCTTAATAGATGTCTGAAGGGAAGCTCTATTAATACTTCATTTATTCTGCCTCCAATTGCTAAGTTTTTCTGATAACTAAAGTGAACTGAAATATCTACATCAGTGCTAAATCTTTAAAAAAATTTAGCCATTTTTTTATGCCACTAGTTTATACTTTATTTTCCTATAGGTTGCTGTTTTATTTAATAATTTGTCTTAAAGATTTTTTTCCATTTTATTCTTTGATTGCTGCATAGTATGGGCATATTCTATGATATGTATCATAGTTTAATGATTTTTTTTATCTTTATTTATGTTATTTTTTAAATTAAAAATTTTTAAAAATTAATTAATTAATTAAGTTTTGGTACTGGGGATTGATCTCAGGACCTTGCGCTTGCAAGGCAGGCGCTGGAACCACTGAGCTAAATCCCCAGCCCCAATTTATTTTTTATTAGTACATGTTTGCCACACATAACGATCACATTCATCATGGGAATTTGTACCTGTACATAATATATCTCAATACTTTTTTTCCATTCCCCTTTAGCCATTTTTAAGTAAATCTTTGTAACAGATTGTGACCAGAGTGTTAACTTTCTTTGCATGAATCAAAGCATGTCTTCAGGCCTCTTGCACAGTACAATACATTCCCCAATACACTCCTATATTGTTGTGCTTGCTCCTTATAGTTTTCTGTCTTATCTTTGATTCATTGTCATTGGCTAAATGCTACATCTACTCTGCTATGAAATTAGGCTTACAGTAAAAAAAAATTAGGCTTACAGTAAACTGAGACTCAGCAGGCATTTTATAGAAAACATGTAATCATTTGTGTGGGGCAGCTCATTTGCTGCTAAAATGCATTTTTTTTTTTTTTGCTTGTGTCTGTTCTAGATAGCAGAGGCTGTATATATAAGCCTTTCACATAAACAAGATACACTATTGGTGATGGTGCCATTTTTGCAAAGCTAATAAG